TCTGACTTCATGTCCTGTTCTGGTCCATTTGTTCTTTCCACTGCAGCCACTGGCCTCCTTGTTACTCATCAGACATGCCAGGCATGCTCCTGCCTTGTCTTTTGTGCTTGCTGTGTACTTCCTAATTTAGCCTAGAATTCTCCTTCAGTGCCACCTGATTAATCAGAGAAGTGACACCTTAATCCACCTATGTAACATGGTAATTCTGGCCTCCAGGTATGCCTTTTCTTTCAATTTGTACATATGATATATTAAATATTTGCTTTTTAAAAAAATTTGCTTATGTCTTCTCTAACTGGAATATAATTTTCATGAAAGTGACCCATTTGTTCCGTATTATTTATATTCCTGGTGCCTAGAATAGTGCCTGGCATATAGTTGATTTCAATATGTATTTATTAAATTAACAAAAATTGGACATGTGGATTTAATGAGGGAAGTGATATGATTCCATTTGGAAAATCACTCTGGCTGCAGTGTGGAAAATGAATTGGCAGAATTCAAGACTTGAGCCAGGGAGAATTCCTAGGAGTTGTATGCTTCTGTGGCTGGAAATTTGGGTTGTTGCTCTTAACATTTTTCACCAATATGTGTGTTGAAAAAAAAATCTCATCTCCTTATGCACTAAAGTCTTTTATGTGAGCTATGAATGTGTGTGTTTACCAGTCCTTCCAGCATATCAGCTGATACAGGCATCCTCCTGTTGGACCTCCGCTAATCCCAAGTTGCTTCATTTATCTTTATATCACGTCTCCCACAGAGACGTGGGAGAGTTGCGAGGCTCTGCAGTGACTGAGGGAATCAATGGAATGGACCAGTTGCTACTGAAAATGCTCTAAGTCCGTATACATAATTGGGTGGGAGTCTTATGTGTGTTTACTCATAAACACCAGCGAGGCCAGGCTTTACCATTTCAGCTGTAATTAGCAAACTGACTTAGCACATCAGTGCTGTGATGTAAAGGAAGCCCTGTCACCTCAGACCCCAACACAGAAGGTGTAGTCAAGTTTCATCTGTAGATAGACTGTCTTTATGGAAGTGATGAATCAGTTTACGCCATTGTTACCTCCACCATCCTCAGGTTCACACAGTTTTGTAGTGTCTAGGGCATCGGTAACCTGGATGCTTATGCTCAGTGATTGCCAGTTTCACAGTAGCCCATAAATAAGTCATTGTGTTTAACAGAGAATCAGCTAATAAAACACGTGCGCAGCTGTATTGCTATTCATATGCTATAAAATGTAACATAGAACTCAGATGGCTTTATATTTTAAAATAAAAATAATGTTCTTAAGAGTGAATTCTAGTATATTAGCAGATAAACTGGCTTCTATAGTAGAGTATTTTACCTATCTGAATATTGCTGACACGATAAATTTTTAGAAAGTAATTTTTACTGCCTTATAAATGAGTCATGCTGGAATTATTTGCAGTGTCTGCAACCCTTCGTATTTGTTAATGTAAGAGTCCTTGTTCTCTTAGTATTAAAATTCTACTTAAATGAATTACTAAAAAATGTGCACCAGGAATTCAAAGTAAATAGTGGAAAAAGCTTGTTACTTAGTCCTGAAAAATAAAATTTAAACTCAAAATGAATATATTTTTATCTTAACTTGATTTAGTCTATGATTGTAATTACATACTAATTACTAGAATGTACAAAGGCAAACTACAAAAGCTCACTCAAGAAATAATAAATAACCTGAAGAGCCCTCTATATTAAAAAGTTAATTTGTAGTTTTAAACCTTACAACCCAGAAAGCTCCAGGACCAGATGGCTTCACAGGTGAAGTCTACCAAACATTTAGGGAAGAAATAATATGAATTCTACACAAACTCTTCTGGAAATTTGAAGGGGATAGGATACTTCCTAGCACATTCTCTGAGGGCAGCATCACCCTGACACCAAAAGCATGCAGAGATAGTACAAGAAAGGAAATCTACAAGTACCTCTCATGTACATAGGTACAAACATTCTGTCTTAAAATTTTGATGAAATCCAAAATATCTGGAAATGATAGGTGGGAAGTTTATCCTAGGACTGCAAGGTTGGTTTCACATTTGAAAATTAATCAATGTAATTTAACATATTAATAGACTAAAACCAAAAAAGCATATGATTATATGATCTTCTTAATAGACACAGAAAAAGCATTTGACAGTATTCTGATACAGAGCCTCATCAAACTAGGAATAGAACTAAATCATAAAACTGAATGTGTAACCTAAACCCATAAAACTTCTATAAGGAAACATTGGAGAAAATGTTTGTGACCTTGAGTTACGCAAAAAATTTCTTAGACACAATACCAAAAGCATAAACCATAAAAGGAAAATTAATTGAAATACATCAAAATTGAGAACTTAGCATCCAAAGACACAGTTAATAGAATGGAAATATGTCAAATCACATATCTGATAAAGGACTTGAATCAAGGATATATGAAGAACTCTCAAAATTCAATATTAAAGGGCAAAAACTCAAATCACACAATTCACCAAAGAAGATAGGCAGATGCTGTGTAAGCACATGAAAAAAGTGCTGAACATCATTATTCATCTGGGGAATGCAAATTAAAAGCACAGTCAGATGCTGCCATATAGCCACTAGATTGTCCAAAATTTAAAAGACTGACCATACCAAGTGATGGCAAGTATGTGGAGCAACTGGAACTCTTGTATACTGCTTGCAGAAATGTAAAATGATACAACTTTGGAAAACAGATTGACAGTTTCTTACAAATTTAAACATACCATATGACCCAGTCATTCTGTTCCTAGATATTTGCTCAAGAGAAATGAAAGCACATGTGCATACAAGACTTGCCCATGAATGTTTATAGCAGCTTTGTTTGTCATGACTAAAAACTGGAAACAACATAAATATCCATCAACCATTAAATGGATATACACATTTTGGTATGTCGTTACAATGGAAAGCTACTCAGCAATGAAAAGAAATGCACTACTGATATGTGCAGCAACATGAATGAATTTTAATTGTGCTGAGTCAAAGTAGCTGGATAAAATGGAGTATGTAGTGCATGATTCCATTTTTATAAAATTCATGATAATACAAACTAATATATAGCAACAGAAAGCAGATCAGTGTTGTCTGGGGACATGGCAGGGACAGATGGAATAGTGAGATTAAAAAAGGATTACCAGGAAACTTTTGGGGGTGATAGATATGTTTATTTTCTTGATTTTGGTGATGGTTTCCCAGGTATATACACACATTAAAACATCAAATTGTACACGTTAAGTATATGCAGTATATTGTATGTCAGTTACACCCTAATAAAGCTATTATAAAATTAGGACAGTAGAGTAAGATTGGTACACTGAATTTACAATGACCTTTCATGTCTTGAAAGCTATTAAATTTTCAGTGAAAAGTAGACAAAATTAAAATCAAAAGTAGAGTGTACTTACAATTGTAATGTCTAACCAATCATTTTATTTGCTCAAGTTGTTTACCCACAGTTACGATTATTATTAAAATATACTTTTGTGTTGAACTGAAGAAATGATTTTCAAACATGGTCATGTACAAGAATTACCTGCGGGAACCTGTTAGATGTGCAGATTCCCAGGCCCCCTCCATGGATTCTGAATCATGGGTGTGGTCGTGGGGTCTAGGAATCTGCAAGTTCAGTAAGCTTCCCAGGCAATTTTGATACATGTATCCATAGACCACATTTCAGAATCATTTCTTAGCAGAACACTGTTTGCAACAAAATTGTGTAAATCTGGATGAACGCTGTGGATCACTGGTGCCAGACTGAAATGGAGTATTATCTGAGTCTACGTATGTGTACACCGGCCTATTAGAGAGGGGAATTGACTTCCCTGGAAGGGGCAGCAAATCTGCATTTTGTCTGTATTGGCTGGTATTCATGATGCCTGATCTTGTTAGAAGATAAAAAGTGTCCAGGTACTTGAAAAAATGAAGGTGCCATAAGGTTTTTCTTTTCTCCCTTTTTCTTCTGTTTCCTCCTTTTCCTCTTCTTCGCAATATTCACTGACCTGCATTTGGCATTTTGGGTCGTATTCATGTGCTATACAGTTCATGCTTTCATCAGGCCTTTCAACAGTGAAAGGACAGGGGCAGCAGGAAGAAGGGACCATCTGTTACTTTACCAGGTATCTTTAAAAACAAAACGTGCAGTAGGAGCCACATTAATTCACTACTTTCAAGTCTGATGTCAGGGAGAGTAGGGAAGTCTTCCTGTAATGCATTTCTTTGTGCCTTTCTAGAGATATGTGTCATCTGTCATACAGTGTTTCTTACCACCTTAGGCACTGATAAACCGCCAGGTAGTTTTGTACAGTTTTTCTACTAGAAGTGATGCTATGGTGTGGGGGTGGGGCGTACTGGCCTGGTCCCCACCGTGATCGATGACGAGCATGGCAAGACTGGCAGCTGTTGTCACAGTGGTCCTGGAGCTGAGGAATAACATTTTCCCTTGAGTAGGTTAGAAGAGTTGTGTAGTACAGAGCTCATGACTGGGGGGTCTTGTACAGGGTATACTATTAGGAGTGAACTGACTTTGCCTTTGGGTCAAAAGACTACGGTGCTGCGTCTATACCCCATGGCCTGGGGCTTTGAAGATGGGTGCTGGCTTTAACTAGACTGTGCTGCTCTGCCTCTTCTGAAAAAATAACAGAGGCTTCAGTAGCGTCAATATTTTAGTCCAGATCTTGAGTATGTGGTTTGATAATTTAAAAAAAAAAATCATGAAGTGAAAGTCATGAAGAAACGTTTACTGTAGCTAGATTATAATGTAGAACCAAAAAGCAGAGTTGGAATCCTTCACAAAATTAATAATATATTTTTGAACCTGAAGAGTGTGTCGAATATACTTGAAAAAAATCAATTTCCGGTTGCTCACTTGGGGAATCAAAGATGTCTTGTTCACTCTTGTACCTTAAATTTATGTGGTCGAATGTTCCTTAGTGCCTTTTTAGCACTACATTTCTCTCTTTGTTTTCCACAGACATGATGCAGTTATTATCTCAGGAACTGAAATGGCCAAACAAATCCAGAAAGAAATACGGCAAGGTGTGGACTCTTGGATTTCCCTTGGGAACAGAAGGCCTCACCTCAGCGTCGTTCTAGTGGGTGATGACCCCGCCAGCCACACCTACGTCAGGAGGAAGGTCAAAGCGGCCGCTGCTGTAGGTGGGCGTGCGTTTTAGTTGTGCTTTTTCCTAAATCATGTTTTCTGGTTTCACTTCAAAGTGTGATAATTATGAATGAAAACTGTCAACTCAGTGCTATTCAAATAACATGTATTATTATTATTATGAGATTATTTAGTTACCAAAGTTTATTTTCATTTCTTATTCTTTTTCTTCAGATTTTCTTACTTAATCAATTCAGTGTGATTTCAGATCCTATGATGAAATGTGAGAGCAACACTTTACATTTAAAGGGCCTGGTTTTGTCACATTTGCTTTAATTGCATGGTAAACCTGGCCAGTTCACTCTGTCCAACTTGGCTTGGTAGTGGCGGTGGCAGTATTGGTGTTTTTATTCTCTTTAAATCTACTGACAGTAGCTTATTGGCAATAAATGCAATTTGCCACATGGGGTCCTGGACTAAAGAATGCATGTGAATCATGAGAAAACATCTACACTATTTGAGAAATCCCTTCTGATGGTGCTTCGAACATCATTTTTGTAGAAGGACCTTTCCTTCTCGTGGGACGGGAGCAGAGGGAGCCAATCACATGCTATAAAACATCACTAATGGAAAAACACATCTTTGTTAGTCGAGTGACTTTCTGTACTTGTTTTTCTTCCAGGTATCTGTAGTGAGATCATTCTAAAACCTAAGGACGTTTCTCAGGAAGAACTTTTGGATATAACTGATCAGTTGAACATGGACCCAAGAGTCAGTGGTATATTAGTTCAGTTGCCACTGCCAGGTACATAATGCTCTTCTATGTGTCTGGTTTGGTTAGGAGTAAGGACACCTTTCAACATTATATGCTGACACCTCAAGTAATTTATAAAATATGTTCAGAAGGGGACTAGCTCTTATATTAGCATATAATAGGTGACAATTTCTGAATGACTTACATTTACAATGACTGAAAATTGTGAAAGAAAAATGGAGGCTTTGGCAACACATGCAGTTCTGGCTTTGCACAACAGTGCAAGAACATAGAAATGGCTGTGTCTGCTGCAGCTGGTCAAAGCGATCTAAATAAATCAGTGGGAAAATAGCTATTGTTCTGTGACCTTTAAAATGTTTTCTCAAAACATCAAAAACTCTCTTACTGTGGTTTGCAAATGTATAAGGACAGGAAAAATAGTAAAACTAATATTAAGTACACTGTGATTTAAAACATTAGAAACATTGAGAATTAAAGTGTTTTATTTCATTGGCAAAGTCTCGTCAAGAGGAGTTTGACCTTCCTTCCTCTCATCCTATAACTCTTCATACGGAGCGCTTGCTCTTTTCCAAGCATCTTTTCTGTGCCTTGGTGAGTTGAACTGTCATATTCCTTTCCAAGTCTGGATCAGCTTCTGTTTTGTCCTTTGTACTTTTGAAGTCATGAACTGTCTCTGAGAGTTTCTTTAATGTGAGGTTTTATCCTGGTGTCACTTTCTCTGGGGTGTTGTCGTCCTTTTTGTCATAAGCACGTTCCTCATTTATTTGGATCCGTTTGTCCTCATTACGTTCCTGTGGCTGCGTAGCTACATGGCTTCAAAGGGTGCAGCGTCAGCATTCTGGGGTCATGGCCTACTTCCTGTACAGCCCGTTTATATTCAGGTAGAAATCTACTGAAGCAGGTTTATCTTGTTTTTTACGTTCATGGTTCTTACCTTTATGCTGGCCTATGTCTCTTCTGTCTTTGCTGTGCCACCTTCAGTTCTTCTGTTCACATCCGCTTTCACTTCCAGAATCATCGCCTTTTATTTCTTCATTGCACTTCATCTTTACAGGCTCATTCCCTCTTCTCATTATCCGCTTCTGTGAAATGTCATGTGAGTTTATCACTGGGAGACAAGGAGGCAGTATGATTTGCTGTCTGTGTTTGAACTGAATAACAGATGTGCCGTGATCAATCACCGACAGACTCTGAAAGAAGTGACGTGTTAGTCACTGATCATGATGCTCATCTGTTACTTACGTAGTGATTTGTGGACCAAAGAGCTGGCAGTGCTTATATAATCACTCACAGTTAATACGCCATGATAACTGAAATTTAAACTGTGTTGCTGGAAGACTGGTGGTGTTTGACTGAATTGTGGCTCTGAAATTCGTGCATATTCAATGAGCAAAGCAAGGATTGCTTGAATATTATGGATTAGGGCAGTTTGGTGCAGTTTTGAATTATTGTGTAAGTTTGACTTGCAGAAAGTAGAGCTGTTTGATGGTATTACTTAGGATCTTTGTATGGTATTAATATTTTAATTTATGCAATAATATAACTTACTGTCTCAGTGTATAACATTTGTGCTATTTAAATTACAACAAAAACTCACATTTTTAATTATTTTCTTTTGATATGTCGGGATTTAAAAAAATTAAAAAATTGGAAAGGATCTTAGAAGTTATCAAGGTTCCCCCCAAGAAAAATGCTTCTGATAGATAATCCTATAGACTCATCATGTTAATATTAGCATGGTGACTTATCACTTACTTTTACAACTATAAAAGGCATTCAACATGTACAGCACACTCATTTCGTATCATAGGAAGTTAAGGTCTAGAAAATATCAGGAGTTTAATTAACATCACAGATCTGTTCCAAAAATTTTGGCATTTGGGTTTAAGCCCAGTTGTTTGGCTCATGCAAAACAAGATTTTTTTTTTTTTGGTACTATATTTGTCTCACAATCTTCTTGTGGTTTGCAGTTTTTAAATTTCATTCACTTGTATTTGAAATACATTCAGATAGTTATAAAAACATGTAAACATGTAAAATTTTCCAAATATTTAGTTTGTCTTAAAAATTAAATTCATATCTGTAAGAAATTTTACCCCTTTATGGGCAATATTCTTTGTTGAATTTATTAGCAATTTGCCACTAGATGGCACTGTTGATCTCTCTGTACTGAAATTTCTCAAGTCTTGTGTTTGAGAGTGAGAAGCATAAAGCTAAAGGGACATGGTGATAAAAAATATCTGGATTCTCTGAGAAATGACAATTTTATATCTAGTTGAAAAGCCAATAATATACAAAATAACCAAAATTTACTATGTCAGGCATTTATGTCTCAGGCACTTTACCTTATTGATTCATTGAATCCTCACAATACCCCTGTGGAGGTGGAGCTATTATTATAATATGCATTTTACTAATGAGGGATTTGGGGCACAGAGAGGTTAGATAACTGTCCCTAAGCTCACAGAGCTGGTAATGGAGCTGGGATGTGAGTCCAGGCAGACTGGTCCCTCATTCCATTACCATTATGTTACCACTCTCACCGCATGTCAGTGTTAGCTGGTGAGTAACAGGTGCTACTATGTGGCAGGTGTTCTTTTATATAGATAATTTTATTGAATCCTCAAAACAGCCTAGCCTTATGTGTAGGAATTATCTTCTTCATCTTACAGATGAGGGGACTCTTCTGTATTACTTAACCTATTCACCTACATTACACTGGGATATGTAATTTGGTTAATAGAAAAAGTTGGATAAAGTAGGAAATCATAAAACAAGGCATTTTATCTTAAACATAGCATAATAACATAAAACATTTAAATATTAATTCACCAATCTTTTGATGTAGGTTGTCGGGAAGGAAGAAATTTTCCTCTCCCCTTCTAGTTTCTTCTGGCTGATCTAAATATATATAAGACAGATTAACATGAGGAAAAGAAACAAAAGTTTAATAACATGTGTACATGGGAGAGACCCAGGAAAACCGAGTAACTTGCCGAAATGGCTGAAGCCCTCACCTTAAATACCATCTTCAGCTAAGAGAAAAGAAGGCATTGGTGGTAGTGCTTTGGGACCTTAAAGGGGAGGAATGCAGTTCACCTGCAGATGCAAAAACAAATGTTTGCTGGGCCACGTAAGGACAATGGGACACAAAATGGACTCCGATCTTTAGACCCCGCTGAGTTTTCCCCACCACACCAGCCCATTTTCTTTGCAGTTATCTCTGGTGATAGCTCTATTCTGGGAACAGGTCCTTTATCTAGATTCTTTAGGCAGCCACGGGGGAGGCAAAAAGACAGACTTACTGAGTCTTCTGTTTCTTAAAAATAATCTGCCTAAAATGATCCTCATGCCAAAGAGACATTGTTGGGTGGCAAACTGTGCTTCCCTACAAGGTCCAAGACTCTTTGGAAACTACTGTTAGGATTTTTGCACTATCTTTTGGCATAAATAACACCTATGATTCATTGCCTGTAATTTTCAGTTTGAGGTAAAAATATCTAAAATACATCTGTATTTTTAAAATGTCTCCCAATCTTAATAGCTGTCTTGTTTTTATCTAAGTCATTACTAATTCTTTTTAGTTCTCAAGAGTGTTTCAAGAATATTCAAATTAGTCTTCATAGAAATAATTGTTTGTTTATACTGTTTTAAATTAAATTTCATAATTTACTGTGAAAGAACTGGCAAAAACAGACGAGAAATACACACAATTGTCTCTTGATTATCATGAAATTCAACTGGTAGGAGCAGGAGTAGCTTATTCACTATTTCTGATATTCTTTCAGCAAGCCCTGGGCATCAACCTGCCTATTTTAAGAAGACATGGAACTCATTAGTCATTTTGGTAGATTGTTCTGGGGAGGGGGAAATTCTCCCCCCTTCTTCTCTTGAGTTCTTGTGGCTGGACTAATACACAACACAAATAAACAGGAGATAAGTAAACTTTTAAGAAATTTTAATTTATGCACATGGAGGTCCCACAGACATGTGACCTAGGAAGTGGCCAAAGCAGGCAGCTTTTATACTTTTTAGACAAATAATACATTTGTGAGGAATTGACAGGACAAAGAAAATTAGGCCTTGGGTGCTTAATGCATGAAAAATCTAAATCTAAAAGCCTTCTTAGACATCTACTAAACAGAGTTTGGGCTTGAGGTGGTAAGTTAAAGGAGTCGCGAGCTTTATTTACATAGGATTCTTGCCCTAAATTCCCTGTCTCTGGCAACAAGGGTGTCCTACCCCCAGATGCAGGGAGTGCGCCTTTCATGTGAGATTTATTTTCTCCTTTCAAGGGGACAGAGGAGGGTCAGAGTGTCCCCTCTTACAACGGCTCTTTCTTAAGTAACAAATTCAAAATAATTAATGTGCCATTGAGGCATATTTTTGGGTGGCCTACCCTGAGCCCCAACAGTTGGCCATGTGCAAGTGGGTTGAAATAGCCTCTCCTGTACATGTCTTCTAAGATTGTTACAACGCAACGATGAGCAAATGAACAAATGAAATGATTCTAGTCGATTTTACCTCTAATTTTTTGTCATTAGGTTAACATCGGGATTCACGTTATTTCGTGATAGAAATCGGAGATTATTTTTTACAATTAGGACAATATCTTAAGCAAAAGAAATTGTAAATTAGAATTAGAAACCTGATGTTGGAGGACTAGCTTGCATAAGGATTAAAGAGAGCGTACAAGCAGTTTCCATGCATCTCATTTGGATACAAAGCAAAGAAATGAGAGAGAATTCTGTTCTCCATTTGGTGATAATGAGTCTGTCACAGGCTTACACCCATGTTTATGCTCAGGAGCTGTGTGACTCTGGCCAGGACTGGAAGTACTGAGGATGCAACTGTGCGTCCACAGTCGTATGGCCTGTCTGTCCTGTAGCTGATCCTACAAAGAGGGAGAAATAGAGCAGTCATATGAGGTTGCTTCCCTACTCCTGCACCACTGAGCACAGATTCTGTCAGTATCAATAAGTCGTCATCATGTCAAGGCCAGAATGATGTCTGCTATTCACATTATATAT